TATATATATATATATATATATATATATAATTTATTTATTTGTACATACCACTGGTGTGAAAACAGAAACGAGAATATGTTTTTACAAATCTGAGTAAGCTAATGTAAAGGTAACAGGTTTAGATAAAAAACAAAAAACTTCGGCGCTGAAAAATCATACAAGGAAACCGGATTAAGGACTGAGATCAAGAACCAATTGATTTTATAAAGAGGTGAGAGATGCTTAATCATGTACAATTTGAAAAGTTTTGAAAATTTTAATGACGTTAGGACCCAGTCAGAAGACTGAGGAAATCACTGAAGGCTAAAGAATGATGAAGTAAATAGCAGTAAACAGCGGTAAACTCATACTTGAATTTGTTTACCACGTCTTGTTCAAATTTAGTTACCAAATTCGAAAAATCACGCAAAAGGTACTAAAGGTACAGAGTTGTTGACTTGTTTGGAAAGATAAGGTAGCTTGGAAATGAAATAGTATGAAGCTAACCGTCGTGCCGCAAAGATGCAATATCGTTTGGCTTAGTTCGCATAAACAAATCATTCCTGAAGAAATATTCACCGTTGTGTGAAATGCTGTTAAAACGTGCAGTTAAAGGGGCGAGAAGGAAAAATTACAAAGAATTGAGTGTTATATCGAAGAACCCAACTGTAGGTCCTGACTAAATAAGACGTAAACTTGCTTAGAGGCTAGCCACCAGACGCTTGAACAACTCCAGGTTTTTCAAACAAAAAAAAACCTAACCTAAGATCAGCTGGAAGAAGATGGCCATACGAGCTCTGCAAACCATGTTTTAACACTGCCATAGAAGATAAAGTTTTCAAAGACGGTGCTGAAATACAAAAAAAAAACTAAGTGAAAAAATATCAATTAAAAAAACAATGAAGGAAAAGCTTACAGTAATCCAAGACATGTAAATCAGCCAGTTCTGAGAGCCCACCGACAGGTGTCTCTAACTTTTTGCTATCAGCTGGCCTGTAATCAAGATGTAATTAGACAAAGGCAAAAAGGCTGACTCGGTTAACCCTTGAAAGTAATGCATTATTCTTCGGCATCATAGTATATAATATAATGTGGTGATTAACAGCCATAATCAGTGAAAAGATACATTCTACCTACGGAATTAAAACTAACAACAGTGCAAGCGGTCAATTAAATGCTACAAAAAAAAAAGGCAAATGAACGAGAAAACATTACAAACTGTTAAAATGGTAATTATTATCCTACAGACTGTATTATTAGAGAACTTTTGCCAAAGTTTTTCTGATAACAAGTAAACCCTCACGTGGTTCCTCCGAACAAGAAAACTTGGTCATGAATAGAAACGGAGCAGTGGCGACGTCTGGCAGAAGGAGGGATTCCATGCGCATTTATCTCCGTCCATTTTAAAGTTTTAGGATTGAATTCCCATAAATCCCCAAAATGTCGATTTTCCGTACCCAAGTAACCACCAAATATGTACATTCGACCACCATGAGTC